CACACACACACACACATACGCGCGCGCGCACGCACGCACGCACGCACGCACGCACGCACGCACGTACGCACGCACGCACGCACGCACGCACGCACGCACGCACGTACGCACGCGCGCGCGCACAACGATATCACAAGAGCCAAACTAGCAGCATCGGCTAATACATTTTGGATGCAAATTAAATACATCCGACCAATTTGAATTCATTGTCCGGATCCAATCGATAGAGAGCCGTCGCTAGGCGAAGGGAGGAATATAGAAAGACATCGTTTGGTTGTCCGGCGCATACAGACGTGCGAGTGATGCGTGCCTGTATGAAAACAAGGACATCATCCGAACGCCGTTTCATGTAGCATGTCGAGTGGTGGTACACACCGTACGTGCATTCGCACTTTCTTCTGCTTTCTCTTTCCCTTCCTCTTTCCGTCTTCTCGTCCCTCCCTTCGTTTTCTCTCTCTTTCCTCCTTCCCTCTCTTCCTCCATTCTCACTATTCCTTCCTCTCCTCCCTCTCTTCCTCCTTCCTTTCCTCCTCCCATCCTCTCTCCCTCTCCTCCCTTCCATCCTTCATTTCTTCTCTCTCTCTCTCCCTCCCTCCATCCCACCTCCCCTCCCCTTTCATCCCTTCCTTCCTCCCTCCTTCCCTCCCTCGCCCACTCCTTCCCTTCCACCCCTCTCCCCTTCCCTCCTCTCCCGCGGCGTTAATTTGGCAACACTGCGAGCTGGTTGATTACATGGGGATGTTTAGTAGAGACAACGTAATCGTAGCTCTGCCAGCGGCGCCGCAATCCTCCTTATTTACGGCAGCGGCGGGGGGGGACGCGCGCACGCACGCACGCACGCACGCACGCACGCACGCACGTACGCACGAGGATCACCACTGATTATGCGATGACGTCATTGCGGGACGCAGTCGCGCGCATGCACGTGATCAGCACAGATTATGCGGTGACGTCATTACGCACGCACGCACGCACGCACGCACGCACGCACGCACGCACGCATCTGATCAGCACTGATTATGCGATGACTTTATTGCGGGACGCAGACGCGCGCACGCACGCACGCACGCACGCACGCACGCACGCACGCACGCTCGTAATTTCGAATATTTATCAGACGATTCATCCGCCGCCTGCACGCGTCACCGTGACTTTAGCCGCTAATTTATTTCGTCGCAGCATTAATTGCCTTTGCAAATTTTCGATCCCCCGGAGGGTCGGGTAGTTTTTAGTGGGGGTAGATTGGATGATGGGGTGGGAGATGGGATTTTCGTGCGTAAAATACCGCCGGGAGTGATGTTGTTATTATGTCAGAGAGGTAAACGTGAGAGGCTTTGTTCGCTGGTTAGGGCAGGTCTTCGTTTCGATAGGTAATAGATAACTCTAGGCTATAATACCTTCTACTACCCACTACTACTGCTGTTGTTACTACTACTACTACTACTGCTACTGCTGTTGTTACTACTACTACTGCTACTGCTACTGCTACTGCTACGGCTACGGCTACGGCTACGGCTACGGCTACGGCTACTGCTACTGCTACTGCTACTGCTACTGCTACTGCTACTGCTACTGCCACTGCCACTGCCACTGCTACTGCTGCTGCTACTACTACTACTACTACTACTACTATTACTACTACTACTACTACTACTACTACTACTACTACTACTACTACTATTATTATTACATGACTACCTTTTCGAGTTTTAGGACTACTTCCATCGGTTTTTGCATTATAAAAACATTCTCTAAAGTAGCAACGACGTCTGCATTAAACATACAGACGAGATGTATAGCAGCAAGCATGCATGCATTATGCATTCGCTTTCAGGAAGAGCTTTCTATCTTTCTTTTCTTCAACGCACTGCCCTGTCCTTCGTCAAGCAGGGGAATGATAACATGCACGCTCTGAGTAGGCGACTGTCACAGAAACGCATGCAGCTAAGTGGCTGCTTGCATATCCTATTTTATTTCTGCTTAGAATTCATTCGTTACGCACGCACTTAAAGCGACCTAAAGCAGTTCTTTTCTCGCATACCACTACTGCGTTTGTTTGGACTCGTTTCGTTCGGACTTTGTTTGATATACGCTCGGTTTGTGTTTACACATGCATTTTCTATGTCGATTCCTGGCGTTTCCTATTGAAATTCTCTTCCTTCCTCGTCGGTTATTTGTGAAATTGAAACATTGAAACATTTGACGAAGGCGTGTAACTAACGGCTCGACGATGCACCACCGTTAAAAATTCGCTCTCCGGTTCTCGCGGGTTCTCGCGAATTCTCGCTCAAGGGCACTTGGAGCGTTTCAATAATAAAATGATGGTAAAGAAATACGAAATGTATTTACTACTCTAAGACTCAATGTTTATCAATTCTCGTTCGCCTATTATTTGTAGTATAGCAGAGTCCCGCAAATGCAGTTCAGACGCAATAGAGTCATCTTTTGCATACTCCATCTTTCTGTGAATTTGTGCACAGCGGCGTGCGTGCGGTGAAATTGCAAAGGAGCATTTGAACGGCATTAACGTTGAATTAATAGTCAATAGAAAACATATAAACATTGAGACTTTGCTAGTAAATACATTTCGTGTTTATTTATCATCGTTTCATTTTTGAAACGTTCCCGTGGTCTCGCTGTATACAATCAGACATGTCAACGTCCCTCCCTCCCCCCTCCCCTACCCCCGCTGTGAAATGGGTCAAGTGGTTTAGGGCGAGTTTTAAACGTCCTAATTCCTTCCCTCCCATTAGGCGAAGCAATCGCGTGGCAACTGAACCGCAGACGCAGCAAGCGTGAAGTTTACAACACAGTGACGCAGCGGTTCGATGACGCAGAAGATGACGCAGCGGCTACGCGACGCAGTATGCTATGGCTGCACGGTGCTATGATGATTGGACGACGCAGAAGCTAAATGACGCAGCAGTTCGATGACGCAACAACTGAATGCCGCGACAACTCAATGACGCAACAACTCGGCAGACGCAGCATCAGCCCTATCTGTCGGCAGCACCAGGTCGGCGTCGGCTAAATGCCGACGTGCGTGCGTCAGCGTCACGCGCGGCCGAGGACGACGACTACGTAATGACGTGACGTCGCCGTGCGTGCGTCACGGGCCCGACGGCCAATCAATCAATCAATCAACCAATCAACCAATCGATCAATCACTGCCCCGCTCTCTCGTACTCGCAACAACAGAGTTCTGCCAATTCCTCCACTGTAAGAGCATAAATTTCCACTCTGCTAATTTCGTTATGTGCTGAGGGTGTGTGCGAGCGTGCCCCGCATACACACCACACACACACACACACGGTCAGTATCGGCTACTGCTGCTGATGTTGCTGCTGCAAAGCTACGTGCGTACGTGCGTGCGTGCTTGTGAATATACACATGCGCGCAAACACACACACACACACACTCCGGTCGCGCACGCCACACACACACATACACACACGCGCCACACATGCCAACACAAACAGACACACACACACTATGCCACGCAACGCACGCACACGCACGCACGCAGCACGCACGCACCGCTCACTGCACGCACGCACGCCACGCACGCACGCACACACCACACACAACACACACACACACACACAAACAAGAACCCATGTATTAGGAGAACAAATAGCCGACAGGGTTGTCACGTACAGGGCGACAATCAATCTTCTACATGCTATATATTATACATACGATATATATATATATATATATATATATATATATATATATATATATTATAAGCGCCGCGTGTCCAAGTCACGCATATTAGCGTAATCACGCGCTCCTTTTGAGAAAATTGTAAAAATTCGATACGCGCTAATTTTCCACACAGAGCGCATGTATCACAGACGCGTGCGAGCAAGAGAGTAAAATGGGGAGAGAGAAAGCGAGAAAATGAGACAAAGAGAGAGAGAGCTGTTGAAAAAAGATATTACAGAAGAGAGAGAGAGAGAGAGAGAAGGAGAGAGAGGGAGGGAGGAAGCCGTGGGAGTGGAGAGATGAGAGAGAGGAAAGGATTGTAGAGAGGAGAGACGAGCAGAGGAGAGACGAATGAGACGATGAGCAGAGATAGAAAGAGAAGAGACATTACAGACAGAGGATGTGCGCTTAAAGAGGAAAGACGTTGAGAAATGGACCATGAGAGATAGGAAGAGAGGAAGACAGACCAGACAGACAGACAGACAGACAGAGACAGACAGAGAGAGAGGAAGAGAGGAGAGGGCGAGAGGTTACGTATTAGCTAATAATTGCTCGTTTGCCCGCAGAAGGAGAAACGCCACCACGTTAGATATATAATTAGTTATTATGATGAGATGCCGATCAGTAAGTGCCGAGCAGAGTGCATGTATGCACAGCAGCAGCAGCAATGCTCGGAGGACCCGGGAGTACACCACCCACCACCGCCAGGCAGGCAGCACGCAGCGCAGCAGCAGCAGTAGCAGCAGCCAGCCAGCCCAGCAGCAGCCAGCAGCCAGCCTTAGCAGCAGGTAGTAGTAGTCAAGCTAGTAGTCAGTAGTAGTTAGTAGTAGTATAGCTAGTAGTAGTAGTAGTTAGTAGTAGCAGCAGCAGCAGCAGCCAGCAGCTAGTAGTAGTAGCTATAGTGCAGCATGCAGCAGCAGTGCAGCAGTAACAACGCCTCCACCGCACCACCACCAGCAGCAGGACCACAACCGCCACCAGCAATAGCAGCAGTACCACCACCACTACCAGCAGTAGCAGCAGTAGCAGCAGTACCACCACCCACTACCAGCAGTTAGCAGCAATAGGCAGCACACCACCACCACCACTAATACAGCAGCAGCAGCAGTATTACGGTGGCTCCTGACAACGCATCCCTAGCTCTGCTTTCGTGAACTCTAATGGCTTCTGTGACGAGGGAATCGTAAAGAAGCAGGGAAGGGGGAGGGAGG